ATAATTTTTATTTAAACACTTAAATCCTTTAATTTTTTTTTTTTTTTGTTTAATTGCAATTTTGTTTTTTTTCTATTAACATATATATATATATATATATATATATATATATATATATATATATATATATATATATATATATTTATTAGTTTAATGTTACATAATTTTTCCTCTTATGAAGTTTTATTACATTTTCAAAAAAATAAAAAGCCTGTTCGTTTCAAGTAGGGGGGCATAAAGGAAAAAAAAATTTTTTTGACTTGGCATTTATGTATATATATATGTATAAAATTTCATCATTAATTAATTCTTTAATTTATGGTTTATGATTGGGGAAAAATAAAACACACAAACACTTGAAATTTGCTCTCTAACTTAATTTATTAAAAATTAGTTTTTTTTTTTTTTTTCAATAACTTAACTATTATAAATAATCTTCCTTAAGATGCGTTCGAATAAAACAAAAAATCCACGTCATTATTATTATTATTATTATTGTTTTATGGAATTTTCTTTTTTATTAATAGAAATACTCTAAATAGATTCACGTTAAAAAAATTTTTTTTTTAAATTTAAATCAGTTTCATCAGCAAAAAATGTTTTTTTTTGTTATTATTATTATTATTAATGATTAAAATTTAATAATATATTATTATTGAAAAAAAGGAAAAACAACAATTTAAAATCCATCAGTTTAAATTTATATTATTTTATTAATCAAAAGTAAGTTTGTTTAGTCAGGTTTTTTTTTTTTTTTTTTTAAATTTATTTTATTTGTCAACTTTTTTTTTTTTTTTTTTATTAATCCTCATAAAAAATAAATGCTTACCTATATATATACATATATATATTTAAATTGTGTTATTGAATTAGTTATTAAAATGCAAAATAAATAAATTTTTTCTCCTTCGTTTCAAATTAATTTGTATAAAATGTCTTGGTTAAGGCGTGAATTGTCTCGCAAATAAAAAAAAATGGAGTCTGAGCTTGGGCTGAAAAGTGAAACCGGTGATTCATGTTCTTCAGGCGCCAAAAAAGTTCACAAGCAATACTTAATAAAACAAAAACATAATCATCAATTTAAATCAAAAGAAACATATTTTTGTTCAAGTGGGGGTTTCAAAGACATAAATACTCTTTTAAATGTTGTTTTGTGTTTATTGTGCGGGATCAGTGTGTCTTTCAGTGGATATTTTTCATATCGTGAAATCCGATTGGAATATCGCGTTAATCAATTGGAATTGGCGCTAGCGGAAAAATACAATTTACCAACGGGAAATGGTATAGTTATCGAAAGTTTAAAAAGTTCATTGGAACAAAGTTATCAAAGGAAATTTAACGGAGGAGAATCATCATCATCATCATCATTATCATCATCATCACCGACGAGAGGAAGAAAATTGTTTGGATTTGAAGAAAATGAATCCCAGAGATTCGATGTAAATGTACACGAGAGACGACCTAGAGATGCAAGTGATTGTGTCTGCAGGCCAGGTATTTTTTACACTTTAAATATAAATTTCGAAATTTATTATTATTATTATTATTAAATCGAAATAGTTACTGCCGACAGTTTGTTTAAAACTAGTTTTAGACCTCATTATTATTATTATTAATTTTTTTTTTTTTACGTTTACATTAGACGTTTTACCGTTTTCCCTTATTATATATAGTGTTATTTCTCCTTGTATAGCAGCGTAATTAAAAAAAAAAAAAAAAGTCAAGCCATTCATAAAACATTAGATTATTATTAATATTATTTTTATTATATATTAAATATTAAATTATATTATTAAAAAAATGTGTCGGATATAAGTTCTATCGTCCAGATATTTTATAAACCCAGTTATTTCGTATTCATCAACAACTTGTTGCATAAAAAAAAAAACAATTTTTTTTAGAAAGTATAACATATTTTTCAACGTTTAAAATATCATTGTCATACATCGTTTTTAAAACACACAAACACACACAAATAATGTTTTTCCTCTCCCTGTTTTTCCCATTTAAATAAATTTTGTCAACGTCAGCTCTGGAATGAAGGGCGTCTTACAAAGTCAGCAATTTTATCCTTTTTTTTCCCTTCTACTACTACTACTACTACAATCCTTGTGGATTTCTTACTGGAGATTCAATCTAATACAATTTATTTTCTACAAACAACCAGAGTCGTCAGAGTAAAGATTATCAAAGATAAAAGTGAAATTTTCTCTCTCTCTCTCTCTCTAATTTTTCCTTTAAAAAAAGAAAATTTTTTTTTTTATGATTCACACGCATTATTAATATTCTTCCAGTACAAAACATCGATGGAAAAGAAAAAGGAAAAATAGAAAATTTATTAAATCCAAATTCATTTCGAGTGTTTTCATATAAAAGTAAATGCTTTCGTAAAATGTGTTTATTTTCTTAAGAAAAATATTTATAAATATAGTCACATTTATATGAAAATAACGCAGGGGGGCGAGGGGCGGAGGAGAGGGTTGCAAAAAAAGAAAATTTAAATTTTAACTAAATAAAATTATATTGAATTTCTTCCTTTTATTTTTTGAACTTTGTTTATATTTAAAAATATTTCAACCTTTTATTATTATTATTAAAGAAAAAGGAATTTTACTTATTAATTATCAAATTTTTTGGGGAGAAAAAAAATTTAACTTTTAATTACCTTTTTAAATTTATTTTGCTTAATTATTATTATTTTCAAGAGTGCCTTACCCCTTCTTCCTATCCCCCTTCTCCCCACTGCCCTCTAAGAACGTATTTACGAGAGTTAAATTTTATTTTTTTTTTTTAGGTCCTCCAGGTATTCCTGGAACCCCTGGACTTCCAGGACCTCCGGGCAAAAGAGGAAAACGTGGTAAAAAGGGAGATGCCGGTGAACCTGGATCAGAGGTGAGATTATTATTATTATTATTACTATTTTATATTCATGTGTTATCATCCACGTGTTATCACATTAAAAAAAGGGAGAGAAAACAATTTATTTTTTATTTTGTTTTTAATTAATAATTTCCTCCTCCCCCCTCCCTTTTCTCTTTTTTTTTTTTTGTTAATTTAATTTATTTTAATTTTTCTTTTATAAATTTTTTTTTATTTTTGTTTTTTTTTTTTTTTTCTTTTAGGGTGCTGTTGGCCCTCCTGGGAAGAGTGGTTTTCCGGTATTTTTTTTATTTTATTTTTTTATTTTATTTTTATTTTATTTAATTTTAATTATTTATTTTATTATTATTATTATTAAAAAAAAAAAAAAATTAATTTAGCAATGCGTTCATGTTAAAAATAATGGGATGGATGGAGTAAAAATAATTTTTTTTAATTATTGACTATTGAAAATTTTATATTGCAGGGTCCAAAGGGGGAAAAAGGTTTTATGGTAAGAAAATGAATTTTCCTTTTTTTTTTTTTTAAATTAATTTGGGATTTATTATTTAATCGCAAGTTGATTATAACAATTTTCTTTTAATAAATTTTTATAACTGTATTTTACTACTACTTCTACTAAAAAAAAAAATTTCATAACGATATAAATAACCCAATCATTAAAACGTAACGTAAATTAATAATAAATATTAATGCTTTGTATTAATAATAATAATAATAATAATAATAATAAATATTTAAAAAAAATTTTGCATGAAAGCATTGCTGAATATAATTATTATTATTTTGCTTAAAACCTTTTTAAACAAAATAATTAATTATTATAATTAAATGCCCGCCATTCATCAATTTACCCCCCCCCCCCTCATTTCCCATTATTAGCTTATGTATATTTTCAGGTGAAATTCAATTTTAATCAATTTTTTTATATATATAAAACGTCAAATTTTTATCCTTTTTTTTTTTTTGATGCGAAAAATTATTATTTATTACTTAATACTACTTTACATGGCAGGCATATTTTCTAACGCGGTGTTGGTTAAACCCCCCACCCCCTCTCGTCTCCCCCTTTTTTTATATTGATGAATTAATAATAACGAGTATATTTGTTAATTCGATTTCAGGGACCGATCGGATTGGATGGACCCAAAGGAGATCCGGTAAGTTTTTTTTTTATACTTAAATGAATTTATTACCCAGTTAAAAAAGAAAAAAAATTAATTACGTAAAATTAAAAATAATAATAATAATAATAATAATAAAAAAGAAATTATAATTAAAGGGTCGACCTGGTGAAAAAGGACAAAAGGGAGACGTTGGAAGTCCCGGATTCGACATGTATGCTGCTGTTAAGGTAATAAAAATTTCATTAATTCATTTTTTTTTTTTTTTAAATTAATTTTCATCGTCAAATGAAGGAAAATTTTTAATTTTTTTTTTTTTTTTTTTTTTGGGGGATCTTCAATTGTACAAAAGACTTACTTAATTATGATTTTTTCCTTTTTTTAACGAATAACGAATTTTAATCAATATTTAATATTCAAATTTTTTGTTTTTTTCCTCCTATTCGATGAATTTCCTCTCCTATTGTCCTTCTAAATAAAATTCATTCATGTTATAAAAAATAATTATTTGTTATTTAAGAAATTACTTCCGGTGGGTTTCGACATTAAAAAAAAGAAAAAGAGAAAACATAATAAACATTCGTATAAGTTAATGAAATAATATAAATTTTTAATCTCTATATTTTATTTAAAATTCTCACAAGAAAATTACCTTTTTTACCTGTCAAGTAAAGTTTAATAGTTGTTTTTTAAGTTTCCGTTGTAAAAAAAAAAAAAAAAAAAAAATTTATACGAGAAGAAAATATATATATATAAAATAGAAATAAAGGAAAATGTCGGAAACTTTTAATATTTTCTTTTTCTTTGTTGAGTCGTTAAAAAAGTTTTTTTTTATATATATTAAACCGACGAGTGTTAATTTGTTTTTTTTTTTTTTTTTTTTTTTTTAATTTATAAATATTTAATTTAATTTTTTTTTTTTTAATTAATAAATTGTTATTTTCAGTGTTGCTCTAACTATGTAGTCAGTAATTAGGGTCGCCGTTGGTTGTTTTAATTATTAATAAACAATAATTATTGTTTATGTTTATGTTTTTTTTACTTGACTACTATGTTAAAGCTAAAGTAAAAACTCCTACTACTACCATTTATGATTGAGATTCTCTTATATTTTTGTAATGTAGGGTCTGAAGAGATCAGTAACCACATTAAGAGGTGGAACTTTAGGCTATGCAGAAATAGTCGCTGTAAAGGTGAGACTGATATTGTTGGTGTGACTCATTGAAAAGTGGTTGCTGCTGTAGTGAGCTTTTCCTTTTGTTTAATTTAACCTTTTTTTCTTTTTTTTTTTTTGTATGAAACCAGATAATTATGTTTGTTGGGTTTTTATTCCCCTCTCACTCTCTCTCTGTCTCACTAATGTTACAGGGAATAAAGTAGAAACTAAAAAAGATATGATTAAGTATATATATTTATTCATATAATTTTCATGGAGCTTGAATTTAAATTTAAAAAAAATTATCTGATGGGTATTTTTGACATGGTTATAATAACATTACTATTATTATTATTTTGCATGAGAATTGTAGAAATAACTGTTTTAGGTTTTTTAATATAAATATTGGATTTTGAGTTTCAGGCTGCATGACATGAATTGGTTGATTGGTGTTGGATTAGAGTAGTTAATTTGTTTTTTTTTCTTTCCATTCGAATTTTTTTAACACCTGGAAAATTAGGGGCTACAAGAGCGGGGGCATAACATCTCTGAGCAAACCGTAATTGCGCTTAAAGTAAGAAAATTTAATAAAAATAATCCGCATGTTTTGTTTT